AAATGGTCATGTTCAGTAACAGAGCTGCCTGTGCCGTCCCACCTTATTATTGCATAATAAAGTTATGTATTTATAAAACTGTTTGTTTCATAGTACGTTTTTAAATAGTTCTTGTTCATGGTCAATTGAAAATTACAAAGAAGTACTGTAAATTCAGAAATTATTGCGATGTTTTTATTATTGCGGAAAATGCGACAGGGTTGCAATCGCAATAGTTTAAACTCGCATTTTGAATTTTTTTATAAGAATTATACAGATTTTTTTTTCACTATCGCAAAAATTAATAAAAATCGCATTTTAGTCTAAAATGACAAAATCGCAATAATAAATGCACGCAATAATTTCTGAATTTACAATAGTCGATATTCGAGTGATTTATTTTTTTCAACAACGGCCGCCATTCTAGTGCAATGATGGTTACACATGTCAGTCGTACAGAAACATATTGTGATGCTTACTCGGTGTTTTTTCAGTAACTTTCAACTGATGCACAGTCATTGCTAATTCTCCCATTAATATAATCTGGTAGATGTCTTTTATTATTTGACGAAAGGACTGATTTCCGCTGGTCAGTGTTTTGTTTACTGACAAAGGGGCGTGGTTAAGTTGCTTTCGTTTTTATTTGTCGGATAAACTCGGCTTACGGATAATATTTTTCTCACGAGTTCAGGGGGCAAATTCCTTTTACGGGAAGGATAAATAAAGCTAACCAATCGTTGACAGGTATCTGTCAAGTAGGCCAATTACGTCAGAACTTATAGTAAATATAGTAATATGTCGTCTGTACAGTTGTAAAAAATGTAACATGTCCGACAGTTCTGACGACGATTTCGAAGGTTTTTCAGCACATGTGAGCGGTACAGACAAACACTCGCACAAAATGGTGCCGGTAACAATATTGAGATCAGTGATGTAGAAAGCGAACTTTCTGATAAAAATGAAGACCCATTTTTTCCTAATGTGAATAATGCCGGCGATGCCCCCAACAATGATGGGTGGCACGAAAATTTAATCTACTATGAAAGAGGTCTCCCCCATTTATTTACTCCAAGAAATAACACTGGACCACAAACTGTTTTAGGTATTGAGAAGGACCCTGTGGAATTTTTCCAACTTTTTCTAGGTGATAATCTTATTCAGAACATTATAGACAAAACTTATAGTTACGCCAATAAACAAATCAGGGATCACCCTGACCAAAATAAATCTGTTTGGTCATTTCCAACCATTGTAGAAATGAAAGCATTTTTTGGGATGACATTTGTAATGGGGATTGAAGTGAAAGCAGATATCAAGTCATATTGGTCAACTGATTGTCTTGAGACACCCTACTTTGCAACAATAATGACTCGTAGCCGGTTTCAGCAAATATGAGATACATGTATTTGCATTTCTCTGATTCCAACAATAACATTCCACAGCTTGGTGAACCTAATTATGACTGTCTATACAATGTAAGATACTTCATGAATTCTTTTAATGAGCAAATGAGAAATCAATATGTACCTAAACGGTAAGTTTGCGTTGATGAATCCATGATTCCTTTTAAAGGCAAAGTTGATTTTAAACAATATATGCCTGCTAAGCCTTCAAAATGGGGTATCAAACTATGGGTGTTAGCAGAATCGGACAGTGGTTATTTGTCCTTCTGTGAAATATACAGTGGCAAGAAAGATCGTCCGGTACAAGGGCTAGCCGGTTGTGTTGCAGAGTCCTGTGTTGAAGGTGCTGGTTTAGTTGGCCAGGATTATCATGTATCCATGGATATCTTTTTCACAAACCCTGCATTATTTGTTGATCTGTTTCATAATTTAAACACTGGTGCGTGTGGAACTGTTCGTAAAAACGGAACGTAGAAAGGGTCTTCCTAAAGAAATTATGATTAAAAAACCTACTGGAGTAAATGAGAGGGGTCAAAGTCAGTTTCGTCAAAAGGGGACAATTGCAGCCACGGTTGGAAAAGAAAATTGTCTCAGTCATATCTACTGTCCATGACAACACAATGACTGAGGTCAACAGGTAAAGCCAAAATGAAGGGCTTTTCTTAAGGCAACCAGTACCATGTCCTCAAATGGTAAGCGATTATACCACATACATGGTTGGAGTTGACAGATGTGATCAATACATACAAAATTATGTATTTAATCACAAAACTTTGAAGTGGCCTTAAAGAGTCTTCTTCAAAATGATGGAAATAATTAAGTTCAATGCGTTCAGATTATTCATATTGTCACCGAACCATCAACCCGACCCTTCAAAGTCCTCGATAACATTTCTATAATTTTCAGACTGTAGCAACAGGTCTTATTGCTGGATACACAACAAGAGATAATCGTAGGCGGGAGACCATCAAATGAACCGTTGAGGATCAGACTTACTCACAGGCATCTCCCTGCTGACTTGGAGAAGAAGAGATGGTGTCATGTCTGTTGGGCACGTGTTGCAAAGGGTGCCCAGGAAAAAAGGTCGCAAACTAGATATGGATGTATGGAGTGTCGAAAGCATTTGTGCCTTCCAAAGTGCTTCACCGTATACCACTCTGTCAAGAATTATAGTTCATAACTGTTCACTGTTTCAGAACTGCCATCGTTTTTTGTTAATTGAAGTTTAAAGCTGAAGTTTAAAGTGATTTTTTGAAGATGAACAATACAGTCTTTCAATTAATGACATGAAAATTAATCGCAAGATAACTATTTTACACAATCATCATAGGAAATATAGATGGACATTACATAAGGACAATGTATAGTAATACTTTTAGTTTAAAAATATAGTGCAACTTCAATTCAAGTTTGAACATTGAAGTTTATTTCAAGTAAAATTCAAAAAATGAAGATTTTTAATCATAATATATTGAATATTGAAGTTTAATTGATACGTATATATATTGTATATGAAGTTTAAAATTATTTATGAAAATTCATGAAATTAAGATTTATAATCATAAAAGTCTGAATTTAATTCAATTCTTGTGAATTTTAATCATTCTTTCTCCCTTGTTCTTCTTTTAGGCCTTAACAAAAAAATATCTGTGTTTCCGGTAACATCATTTTGAAAAATAGGGTCGGTAGGTCGGATTTTTTTTTTTTTTTGACATTTTAAACGAAATCCGGAAAATTATCATGGTTTTTCCAAGTCCGGGTCCGTAATTAGTTTCTAATACCGGAAGTGCGGCCATTTGCAATGTTTTTGAAGCACCTGCTGTGCATATTTCTTGGTTTTTAACCTATTTGGAATACCTTTTGACATAAATAAAATGTTTTACTGGCTTCCTGTGCCAGTAGAAGCAAGTTAGATAAATAATTATGTCGATTAATAGAAGCCTGTGTCAAAAACAGGGTCGGTTGATACCATTTATTTGAAGATCCAATAAAAAAATTAGGGTCGGGTTACCGGAAACACAGATTTTTTTATTTTTTTTGGCCTTATCTATAATTTCATTTTCCCATTTGAATTGCATTTATAGAATTCTCGAACAAACAAAGACAACCCGAGATTATTTCAAAAGTAATTTTGGTTGCAATGTACACTTTTAATCACACAAGCAATGTGCTAAGCAAGACAACTCCAACTTCGATTTATCAAGTGATTGCATTATAAGTGTAAAATGGCCGCCGAGGAATTGGACAGGATCATTTGTCAGTCGTGTTTATTTAGACTTATAAGTTAAAACTTCGACTGTGGAATAATAATTTCCACACAACTTTGATTGAGAAACACTCGAAATTGATAACGCCCGTTTAAATGTGAATTAAGCAGATGAAAGGCAATAAAAAAAAACGGTCACAAAAAAAATGATATTATCCAACGTCATTTTTCTCGCACAAAAGGGAAAAAAAAACCATAATATTGGTATTGTCATGTAAAATTAACCATTTTGCTACGATCCTTTAATACAAAAGTGTAATACCGTCGAGTTTGACATCGATTTGCTGAGAAACAACGAAGATACAAACGTATTTCCAAAAATGTCACCTTTTCTCCCTGCACATGGCAAATTAATTCAGGCCATGCTAACTGCGCGCAAAATTTGAACAGGCCACATAATGTCGCGGAAAAAAACAAACCAGTAAGGAAAGTGTTAACACATGGTTTGTTAAAATCTAACCATAAAAGCTTTCAATTTTTTCTTGGAAAACATGTAGTTTTAAATGAAACATAAAGAAAAAATTGTAAATAACGAATACTTTTGGCCATACACTACAATTGTATAATATGTTCCAAACTGAGTCATTCCCAAGGTCGCACTACGAGCGTGTTATCATATTATTGACAAACTGAGCCGGTATCTTTCATTTCCTTAAGAACTCAGTAGGGATATAAATGTGTTAATTTCGCGTTTGAGTTCCGATCAATATAATACATAATTAAGATCAACAAACAGATCCCATGATGCACTAGTCTCGTCTTAATTATTAACTCACGTAGTCAGAAAGTTGACAACGGGATTTAGGCCGTACCTGTTGTTAGTGAAGCAATAAGTGAACACAACAGGGTCCAGTTTATATAATCTCTTGTTTAAATATATGAAAAAACGTATAAAACATGGCAAAATCCGTATCACATGCCTTGAAAAAAAACATTGTCAACCTTGGCTTCGCCTCGCTTGACAATTTTTCCTCTGGGTAACAATCTGCTCTATCACCATCTCAGCTTTGTGTTATGTATATATAGTTACAAATGAACCTGTTTTATACGATGGTCTGGATGGGGTTTACAGAATAGAGAATAATGGGCAAAAATTACAGAATAAAGGGCCAAAATAATATAGAATTATAGAGAAAAATAGACAAAAAAAAAAGAATAGAATAGATATTAATGGTGTGCTGAAATATACAGAAAAGACGATAATGGGCCGAAAATATTAAAAATGCAGAAAAACGAGCTTAAAAATTAAAGAATACAGAAATGAAGGACCCCATCCACACGCTCATACATGATTGCACGATAGCCGGTAACAAGATGTGGTTAGTTCTGCTACAGTTCTACAGTTTACTTACCTGGGCCGTTGGCCATCTAAAGAATAAATCTTCAACCATTGGACTTATCCGATATAAACGATAATGTGCTCTCCGATCTTCTTGTGGTATTTGATTTGAATAATAGCAAGAGTTTTCAAATTGTACCCATAATTTCTCACATCCTAGAGCTGAAACTAAAATATTTGAAAGATTACAAAGAGGTTATGGACTTGTAGATGACTTGGCTTTTTTGATAACAAGATTAACAGATGCGGATCCAAGATTTTGAAAAAGGGGGATCCAACCAACATGGCAACGTAGGGAATGGGACTTGTAGAAAGTAAGGATATGCAATACCCATGCATTTAGTTCCATAAAGGAGAGGGGAGGCGACCCCCACCCCTAAATCCGCCTCTGATTAACTTTGGTATCTTCAAATGTATAGATTGAGCGTTATTTTCATTTTTTAGATATAATATGTGATATTGACATACACAAATTTCTTACCAAGTACTGCCCGATAGTTATATATTATCAATCATTGGTTTCTCCAACGAGAGGGTGTTTCTCAGCTACATCGTAGCCTACAACCTCATCGAAGGACGAATGATTAATTATGAAAAGTATTTCCAAAAAAAACTGTTAGTTTTTCTCTGAATAGAACTTATCTCAAGATAGAAAATGTGTAAAAAATACCGTGATAAATAAAGTAATAACTTAAGTGATATTTCAGGTATGTCTAATGAGTTTTTAAGAGTTTCTATTTTTAAACCAAAACTTGCCCATTCCACCAATGCCCTTTAGACTCTCTCTGGACTTAACACATCAAATTGAGATAACACCAACAAAAAATATTTTTAGAAAGAAGGTTGACCAATCAGAATTCGAGCTATATATAATTTATCTTTCACTGAGATTAACATTGCCATTTCTGCATGAGAAAATGAAATAATTTACGGTTGACCTACTTGAAGGACTGCTACGAATGATTTTTACAACAGAAATAGACGTATTATACACCATTTTGTAGATATTTTAATATAAATTTACGACATAACAGTGAGATATGAAAGATCCAAGCAAGACTTGATTATTCAGATGGTATTTGATAATGAATAATAAATATACATTCGTATCGCCGTAGCGACGTTACGTGATAAATGAATGTCCCGAAGGTTTGTATGGTACGTTCCCGGAGTAATATTACATTCCTCCTCAACTTTAAATTAGAAAATAACTATATAAATGTTAATTAAGTTGTATACAAGAGGCTGTCACAGTGACAGACAACCGGATTTTCCTGCAGAGGTCGAACTCTGAACAGTTGAGCAAGTATGGACACAACATATAAGCTTAAAACAGCTCTAAATTTGGATTGTGATTGAATATTTGACACAGCATAGGTTTGTGACACAAAATGAATGTGGTCAAAGAACTGAAAAATTTGAAATTGTACATTTACCTATTATGGTCCAATATCCAAAATCTAAGTACATTGTTAGAATCAGCATATCAAAGAATCCCAAGAATTCAATTTTTGATGAAATACTTATTCATTAAATAATTTCTGTTCAAAGGGAAATAACTCAAACTAAACAAAAGACCAAATGACATAGAAATAACTTATCAATTTATGTTCAAAGGGAAATAACTCAAATTCATAAGATAAAAATTAATTATTAATGTATGTTCAAAGGGAAATAACTCAAATTCATATAATAGAAATAAATTTTGCTACTGAAAGGTCTACAACTCAACAACTAGAACAGCTAAAATCGTGAAAATTGAACATGACCTTCGTTTAGTCACAGGAAACAACATATCTAAATTTGAAAAGATTTTGTCAAATCGTTTTCATGTAGATTTCAAAAATCCGGTTATAAAGTTTGTATATATGAATTAAATTATCACAGTCTCTATAATGTTCACTTATGTTTTTGTAACAAACGTAAAGTTTAATTCTTCCTGAATATGCCTGCGATCACATAACATAATCTCTAAAATGTTAAGTTGCTCGTCTGTCTCTTTTTGATCTATCACCTGGCTCTTCTGATTGATTATTCTGACTACTGTTATTTCTTTAAACCTCTATTAGTTGATTGTAATGATGTTGTTGTCTGGTTTTCCAAAGTGTCTTGCGAGGGTTCCTTTCTTCCGTCCTCCGCCCCCTTCAGCGCATGTCTTACGGGGGCTCCTTTCTTTCGTCCTCCGCCCCCTCTCGCGCCTGTATTGCAGGGGGTGCATTTTCTTCATATTTTTGTATCGTCTGTCTCTTTCATTTATATCATCGTACAAATGTTCATTCTTTTCAGCCTTTCTCTGTAGAAACTCTAATTGTGTCCTAATCGGTCGGTTATAACCGTTAATTAGAGCTTTGTACGGTGATATTATTGTAGTTTGGTGTGGTGTTGAACAATTACCCATAATCAGCACCTGCTCAGCTGTTGCACTGTCTTTCCTTTGTAGATTTTTGTTTTGTTCTGTTTTTGGTAATGAGTTTAATTTTTACTCTGCCCTGATCTGTTACTATCGCTACATCTTTTTCTGTGTCGGATATCCTTAAGTGATTTGGTCTAGCAAAAGAACTATCAGCTCTGATCTGGGTAAATATGCGCAATTAATTTCAGGTAGGCGTTAATGGTAGCCTTTTCCTAAATTTCTCTGCTCATATCGTAACTTGGATATGTATGATATGGCTTGTTTCGCAGCTGAGGCATTTTCACATATGTGGTTCAATTTTCTGGGTACGAGTGAGATTCATTTTTCCGTAAATTAGCACACCCAGAACATCCTTTCGTGATGCGTTTCTCGAGGTAAACATTCCCTCTTTTCACACAATAAATTCTTTGAAAATTTAGTTTTTTGCATACATTTAATAGCTCCATAGTTTTTACACCTTTATTCTATAGTCCTCTCTCTCCAAATCAGCACAAATGGTTAAGCCCAGTCACTTGTTAAAAATTGAAACATGTCCAATATCACTACAGAGATTTTTTGTTAACCTTTTCAAGGCGAACGATGCCTTGAGGCATTGCCGCTTATGCGCCGAACGATGCCTTCAGGCATCGTGGAATCGTGAAAATGGTCGTTTTCAGTTAACGAGCTTCGTGCTCCGCCCCCTCTTACTTTAGCATAATAATGCGATATATTCTGAAAACGGTTGGTTTCAGTATTTCTATTACGTTATATTTTGATTCAGGAAAGTAGAAGAGAATAAGGAAACGCGGAAAATCGAGCGATTTTTTTTTCTTCAAAATCTGCCTCTATTTTCGTCAATGTGGGACAAACCATGGCGAAACTTATCAGTCGTACATTAAAGTATTTTGATGTTTAATCAACTTTTTTCAAGAGGAAACAAAATAAGTACATCGTTAATAATTCTTACGTGTCTCAAAGCTTGTAAAAGAATTAAATTTTCCGGTCGTTGTGTTTATTGACACTGACAAGGGGCGTGGTTTCAATACTTTCGATTTTCCGATCATACTTTTCACATTGTTTCGAGAGTCATATTCTTCTAAGGAAAACCTAAATAAAGCTAACCAATCGTGTTCCTTCCTTGTAAAATTACGTCAGACTTGTAGTAAAAATTTACCTATTTTTTAGTAAACGGCGCTTGTGAAGTTGAGAAGAATTGAGAGTTCTGACGATGATTTTTTCAAGTTTTCAGTTGTTAAAATTGAACAAGCAAGTTAACGATATCGCATAATGCTTACTATCAATGTAGCAGGTAACTATGTTGACAACCGTAATGTGGAAAATGAACTTTTTGGAGATAAAACATTATCCTTTCTGTGCACATACATTTGTTTGCCTTCAGAAGTGTAAGCAAAGGTGGTAATATCTAACAGATCACGATGTAGGAATTATCTCGATGACAAAAAAATGCAATTACTTTAAAAGAGGGCTCCCTATCCATAAAATCAGTAAAATACAGAATCATCATGCTCCTGGGAAAGAACCTGTTCAAAGTTTTAAAACCTTTCTAAGTTACAAAACCTGGGACTATAATGATTATAGTATAATAGTCCCAGACAAAACTGACAGCTTTGCCAAACAAATTTATCCAGGATCACTTTAGCAGTACATGCAGTAGTAGAATTTTGTTATTTTGAGAATTCGGTGTTGATAGCAGAATTTTGATGGTCTCTATTAATTTTATTCACAACTTATACAGATTCTGTCGATAAAGAGTTTTTATTGCCATAAATATACATCCGTACATGTATCGTATAGAAACCTGTCTATTGTTGAGGCAAAGGCTGTATGTTGACTTCTAGATGTTTTTCTGGCTGGGACATGTCATTGGATTGATGTGTCATTGAGATAGGCAAGGCGATATCCAACAACTTTTTTCCATATAAACATGATAAAGTATACCAATCATCTTCCTAGTGAAATGTGATTTGACTTTTAAGAAGTATATATACTAAACGGGGTATTAATCTATGCCTATGGGCTTTATTTGTATCATACCTGGGGTAAATTTCAATCTTACATGTATTGTAATACCTGTATATATAAATAAAAAATATACAGTAGAAGGTTTACTGCTAGTTGCTTTAAAAAAAAATCAAATCGTGTCTCTAGGGGGCTTTTTCAGTTCCACAGGGGTGTTGTGTTTATATATTTTTCCACAAAAATGTTAAGTAGTGCATTAAAAAGTTATTATCAGTACAATGGAAAAGGAGAGGTGTTCCTGATGATGACAATAAAAAGCTTAAGATACAACCTAGGAGGCTATAATAGGTTGTTTTTTAAAGGAACAATATCTAGTATCTAGACTTTAGTAGAAACGAAAAACTGTGTTTGACTGTTAATTTTAATGTACAGATCAATTCAGTATGCATTCACTATACTTGTACATGTTTAAGGGCAGTTCATATGCCAAACAAAACTGTTCGCTAATTGTATTGCATAAGACCACACAGTAGTTCGTAAGGGAACACATGCAATATTTATATATATTACTGTGTGCAAAGAAATTTTAATTAAATAAAATCCCATGTATACTTACTCTATTTTTTTATACCTGTTAAGATAGGTCTTTATTGTTGCTGTTATTTCTTTTTTTTCAAATTCAATTAAGAAGCTGGTTCTTGGGACTTATCTATGTCTATATTCATAACTCTAATTGAATTTTAAATTCAGGCATATTATAATTACATGACCACTTTCATTGGAAACAGATAAACAA